CCAATTCCGACACAAAGACCCAGACCACCGATAGAACCAGTAGCAGAAATCAGTTATTTATCGGGAAAGGAGGATAACAGCAGCTCAAACACTGTCAACTGCAACAGCAACCATACTAACTGTAACTATGATTAGCTGACTATCATGGCACGAAGTTGATCATGACTGAGCCGTGACTATCAACACAACAACAAGACTTCCACAGACTTAGTCGGTACTAGCGCAAGAGCCGACACCACTACCTAAATACGAGAACATTGCAAAGCGATCCACAATCCTATACGATTAGGTTCATCACAGATTCCTATCAAACGTTTTCGTGAATGCTAGACAGCGAACACACTAGCTGAAGTGTTGCAACCACTTTCGCGCGCCACCGCTGCAGGCCTGGAGTGAATATCAACAAGGATATTTATTTGTAAGAGAATTCCTCTCGAGAACAATTGCAATAGAGAATTCCTCTAGAGAATTCCTCCTTGCATCGCATCAAGCCCGACCCACCACTACTGTCAACACCACAAGATAGCTCTAGTAGAAGAAACTGGACAGTACTCAGGAAATTCTCACTTCCGCTGCGACACGTTTGATCTCCCTCAGCTGCTCCTCCGAGGGCTCCTCAGGCTGGGGTCTCTTCCTAGCCTTACGACCACCCTCAGCATTGTCTCGTCCCCGACACCTGTCATCTCGCGGTCCCAAAGGCCATCGGGGCCGCACTTCGACGAACTTCTCAGCCGATTCGGCAGTGCAGGGCGCACGCTCGTACAGACCCTCCTTGAGATGCTCTATAGCGTTCCAAGCCACCATAGTGCCGTTATCAGTACAGAGCCTAGTAGGAGGACAGTGTAAGGTGAGACCCTTCTCCTTGGCCAGCTCCTGCATGTTAGACCGAACGCTCTTGTTTGCAGCAACTCCACCAGCGACCACCAGGTCCTTGATGCTATCGTCGATTTCCAAGGCCCAATCAATGGCTCGACCCGCCCGTTCAACAAGATGGTCTACACAGCGCTTCTGGAAAGAGGCCGCCATGTCAGGCTTGCTGTACTTGCCTCCCTCGATGAGGTGTCGCATCGATGTCTTCAGCCCAGCAAAAGAGAAATCACAACCATTCTTCAGCTCAAGATCACGGGTCTTGGCTAGAGGCTTGGCCAGCTCTCGCAGCACGCCCTGGGATTACCCTCGCTCGCTAGCTTCTCGAGA